CCCACCTCCCAGACTCCAGTCTTTCACCCCTGACCTGTCCTCCTGAGACCCTGCCTCTCCTGGCTGCGGAACCTGCCCTGGCTCTCCTGCACCCTGTGGCTGGGCCGCCCACTCCACCCTCAGGGTCCCCTGTGTCTCCTGCATCTCAGCAGCTTCAGACCTGCACATGCCCCAGGGCCCACCTCCCAGGGCCAGGCTTCCTGGTTCCTCCTGCCCACAGCGTCTGTGGTGGCCTCCTGCGGCTCTGGCTCGGGCGCCCTCCTCTCCCACGTGCTCCTGGGGCTCTGTGCCCCTCTAGGCTCTGAGCTGAGGGGACTCAAGGCTCCTGCTGACCCTCTCGCTCCTTCCTGCCAACCCTGCAGCCATGTCTCCAAGCAGCCCCAAGGGCCACAGTCCCCAACCCAACAGGCCACGCCACTCCCTCGGCCTCTTCTACCAACTCTGGTAGGAGCTGCCTCCCGGGTCCCTCCAGAGCTGGCTGCCCGCTGGCCCTTCCCATCTCCATCCCCCGAGGGGTCCAATCCCAGCTCCCCCTCCTGAGAAGCCTCCGCCCCTGCCCCCACCCCTGCGCACCCCCACCTTCAGCACAGGAGCCCGTCCCCAGCTGGCTCTGAAGGCCGCAGGTTCCTCTACCTGTGCCTCCCATCAGCTGGCCTCTAGTCTGCACCAGAGTCCCGCCCGGGAGGCTGCTGTGGAAGGGCAGTGGAAGGCGGAGGGCAGGGGCCAGGCTGCAGGCTGTGCCTGGGGCTGGCTTTGGGCCCGGCCTCGGGCTCAGACCTCCAGCTCCTCCTCCAGCTCCTCCTCCTGCCTGCGGTGCTCCTTCCCAGCCCCTGAGCCCCCGGCAGCCCCGGGCTGTGTCTGTGGCCTCTGCTCTGCCTCCCCTCTTCCCTTCGTGGTCCCCCCACCCCGTGCTGATGACAGTAGCGCTTGTGCCTGGTGCCCGGGCTCACACCCACCTCCCTACCCACATTTCCACCCAAAGATCCTTGGGCATTTGACGTCACTGTCACCTCAGTCTTCCCACCGTGGTCGGTGCCCACTCCCTCCTGCAAGAGCTGTGGTCCCAGAGCCAGGTCTCGGCTGCCGCTGGCCCCTCACCAGTCCTGCGGACCTCCCCTTCCCACTTCCTCCCGTCCCCACTCAGGCCCCTTCTCTCCATCACTCCTGGCTGAGCCTGGGCTTCCACCCGTGCCCTTC